AGTTTTGTGGTATTTTTCAATTGAAGACATCAGTGTGTTCCTTATTGCTTCTGCCCAATTGTATTTTCTCATTGAGTTTATGTCGTCTATGTAATTAAGAAATACCCATCCAACTGTTGTTCCTGATGTAGAGAAAAAAAGCTTCAAACAAGTATACATACACAACATCATTATCACATCTTCATTGTCTTCTTTCTTCTTTCCTTTCAATGCTTTTTGCAACAAGTGTTGACCTCTCTTATTCCTTGATGGCACATTTTTGAAGGGAAGATTTAGAGGAAATTTACTTGCTGCTACAGGAAAAGATGGAAATCAAGGTACATAAGAAATCTGTTTTCTCTGTTCTGAAATTGAGAAAGTTCTCAGTTTAGAAATATATGTTTTAAATTTTATATAATATTGTTGTTGTACATGCATTTTTTATTTTTTCAGTTATTCATTTTAGTGTTTGATATTTTGAATGTTAGAGTGTTATCATTTTCAAAGAATAATATAATATTTTCATTTTTTCTGTTTTGTACATGCAGGGTTCTTTCCTGTTTGTTTTGCAGTTGTTGGCTCAGAGAATCAAGATAATTGGCACTGGTTTTTGGAGCATTTGAGTAGAATTGTTTCACCAGAACGAAATGTTACATTTGTGTCAAATCGTAACCTTGGATTAGTTGAAGTGTTGCCAAAGGTTTTCCCAATGGCTTTCCATGCTTATTGTTTATATCATTTGAAGATGAACTTGTGGCATCATTTGCGTGGTATGTTTCGTAGATTGAAAGAAAAGTTGATAACTTTGTTTGGGAAATGTGCATATGCTCCAACTGAAAAAATATTTCATCAATGTTTGGTTGAGTTAAAGATTGAAGATGGGTTAAGAGTTGAGAAGTTTTTAGATGACATACCATATGATCATTGGAGTAATGCATACTTTCGAGGGCAACGCTTTGGAGAGATGTGGTCAAATGTAGCTGAATCTTTCAATTCGTGGATACGAGAGGAACGCCACTTGCCTATCATAAAGTTGATTGATAGTGTAAGAATTAAGTTGATGAGGAAAATTGCTAAGAGGAGGGAACTTGTCAATAAATGGAATGGTTTGATTTGTCCTAAAATGGAGTCCAAGTTGCATGATGGTTTTAATACTTCGAGGCCATGGATTGTTAGTTCATCTGGAAATGATGTCTATGAGGTGCATTCACATCCATCTATTTCAGTTGACATTAGTAAACGAATATGTTCTTATGGCGAGTGGCAGTTGAAAGGGTTTCCATGTGCACATGCAGCTGGTGCTATACAAAAAAGTGGACATGATTTGAGTTTATTTGTTGATCAATAATTCTATGTTCAAAGTTATCGAGAGTCCTATTTTTTTCCCATATATCCTGTTCCTTCAATTTGGAAACCAGATTGTAATGTTGATGGTGATAGTGAAGTTGTTCTTCCTCCATTGTCTAAGAAGCAACCAGGAAGGCCAAATAAGAAGAGGATTCGTTCAAATGGTGAGAAAATGAGGCAAATTACTTGTAGTAGATGTGAGAAGATTGGCAATCACAATAAGAAATCGTGTAAGGAGGCTTTGTGATTTTTTGTAGTTGCTTTGTGATTGTAAAAATTTCGTATTCATAAATTTCTTGAAGTAGCAGTTTGTGTTGTTGAGCGCTGAGTAATAATCTTCTATGTTTTTGAATAAAGTGACATTGAATTGAAAGTGAAAATATTTTTAGTTTCAGATTTTAATTTTTGAAATTGTTTGTGATAATATTGTTTGGTTGGCTTTCGGAAATAAGCTTGACTGTTGAATGTTTGTTTTGTAGATTATGTGAATACTGTATAAAAAGTGAACATATTCTCAGTTTAAGTTTTTAGTTCAAAATAACTGATTTTGTGATAATAGTGTGAGGCTCTTGTTATGAATTAGAACTAGTTATAAATGTGATGAATTGAATGAGTGTGAATTAATATTCTAAATAGATGTGGTCAATGTTTTATGTTTTGATTAAAGTAACAGTGGACTGTAAGTGAAAATATTATTTGTTTCGAATTTTAGTTTTTCATATGGCCATAATATTGTGACGCAGCAAAAAAATTGTTGTGATAATATTGTTTCGGAAATAAACTTGACTGTTGAATGTTTGTTTTGCAGATTATGGGAATACTGTATAAAAAGTGAACATATTCTTAGTTTTAGTTTTTAGTTCAAAATAGCTGATTTTGTGATAATAATGTGAGACTCTTGTTATAAATTGGAACTAGTTATAAATGCGATGAATTGAATGAATGTGAATTAATATTCTAAATAGATGTGGTCAATGTTTTATGTTTTGATTAAAGTAACAGTGGACTGTAAGTGAAAATATTCTTTGTTTCGAATTTTAGTTTTTCAAGTTGTCATAATATTATGAGGCAGCAAATAAATTGTTGTGGTAATATTGTTGTTTGAAAATTGAGTGATCTGAATAAAACTGAAAATATTCTCAGTTTTAAAGTTTCTAAGTTTGAAAATAAGTGATTGAAACAACAGTAAAGTTTTGTGTCCACTATTTTCACATGTAATACTATTTTCGCTTTTGCCATATAGTAGTGTGAGGAACAAGATAATAGAAATTGAGAATATGGACAAAAACATCAACAATGCTCGGGTGCATATATCTTTGAGAGTATGACAAAATATTCCATTACACATCATAGGAATTATAATATGTTTGTTAGATAATATGCTTGGAACTATTAACAAAAACATTAGTCATTGTATCAGAGTGTTACAAAAAAGAGTTCATTGAGTTACACATCAAAAAAGATTTCATTGAAGGTTGCAATCTTGACTCTACTTGACTTTGATTGATCTTTGTGGATCACTGAGGAACTCATGTACCATGTCTGCTCTGAGTCTTGGGGGTGTGCCTGGTGGTAATGTGTTTGGAATTGGTTGATGCCTCATGTATTGTCTTATGATGTAGCAAACAATAATTCCACAGTCATTCCTGCAGAAATCATTTTTGACACAGTTAGGGAAAAAAGAAATTTTTTTGAAAAAGATATTAAAATTTGTTAGTTAGAATAAATTAACGTACGTCATTGCTTCTTGTTGAGGGCTGTCTTTGACTGATTCAATCTTGACATCAGGATTCCAGGCTTTTTCTGATTGACAAGGTGTATCCTTCATGTATTGATGGATGATTTTTTGCTATAAAAAACATCAACATAAAGTATGTAATGATTTACATCTGATTATTGTAATGCTAATATGAAATTGTTCTTACCAGTTAATTTGCAACGTTGTAGTGCTTGTTCTTTCCTTTTCTTGATCTCAAAGAGTTGAAATGTTTCCAAGTCCCAAGTGTTTGTCGATAACAAGTAATGTCCAATGATTGAAATTGTGGATGGGGATATGGATGTATCGACATGGGAGGGATTCTTGCAAAGTATTTTTTAAAATCTTTTTCCTTTGTTCTGAAGTTTTCTTCTTCAACATTGGCTATTTTTTACAAAAAATATGTGAATATTCACAGTAATTGTGCGAACACAATATTCATGTTGATGAAAAGCAACAAAATATGATTAACTACGATTTGTCACTCAAATTGTTTTGAAATCTAAGTATATTCCCAGCAATGATACCAAAATCAAAATTTAAGAACATTCACAAGAATGATAACAAACACAAAAAATCTACTTTGAAACCAAACTTGAACGGAAGATAAAGTATAGAATTGACACATGCACATTGATTCCTTACCCAATATAGACTTGACAGTATGAAAGACTTGCCATTGTGCTCTGCTCCATCACCAGAATTCTGTACTTGTGGTTCTCTTTGAAGAATCTCAGCATATGCATCAATTGTCTATCAAATTGAAACACAAAAGTGATGTTAACAAATTAATGAGAAGTTTTTCAGTGTTAAAATATTATAAATATTATACGTACACAGCTGGATATGTCTGTCCCTTTCACCAAGTTCTTGATATCATTAATAAACACACAATTTTCATATCTTGCTCCAAACCATATACAAGCACTACAAAACAATAAAAAATGTGTTAATAATTAAATCATAATATTTTTAGAAAACAGAGCTATTTCTCAGTTTCATTTCATATATTTGTACTACATGAAAAATTGAAAGATTTATGTAAGATTATACCTTGATTCTGTTTGCTTTTCTTTCCAAAGAATTTGTAGTTTATATTTATCTTCGGGAGGTAGTAATTGAGCCATAGCATACTTGTTTGAAATTGTCTCATCTTTGTGTTCCTTCTCTTTCTCAACTTTAACTTTCTTGCCTCTATACTCATAATATGACACCTCAGTAGTCTTCCTTGCTTTAGCTTTGATATTTTTAATCATGGAATTCTGTAGATTTGTTTGTCTTGATTCTGTCAGATCATCGGCTTTTATTGCACAAACTTGTTGGGTTAAGTCATGGACTTCTTCCTCCAGTAACTGATTCTGCAACTGAGAATTTTGACAATCTTTCACATTTGTATTTGTCTCACAATGTTTTGTTGCAAAAGGTTGTTGTGTTATCTCATGGACCTCTTTCTGATGGAGCACTTTGTCCATAACTTCAGAATTTTCATGGACCTCTTTCTGATTGAGCTCTTTGTCCACCACTTCAGAATTTTCATGGACCTCTTTCTGCAGCACTTGAGAATTTTCATCGTTTATTGTATGACCTTCATTCTTTCCATCTGTCCCAGAATGTTTTACTACACAAACTTCTTGGGTTATCTCATGGACCTCTTTTTCAACCAATTGGTTATGCAATCGAGAATTTTCATTTTTCAATTGTTGTATTTGTGCTGTGAGTAGCCTGTTATCCTCTTCAAGTTTATTTATGTAGATGGTCTTCACTGTGTTGTCTAGTTGCAAATTGTTGTTCTCAGTTTGAAGTTTTTCAAGTGTTTGTTGATGAATTTGTTCTTCTCCCTCAGGTGCATCATTGAGTATAATGTTGCAGAAGTCATTAAAGTCTTCATTTGCTGGCCTTTGTTCTTGGTGGCACTCTTCAGCATATTGACCATCTTCTTCTTCTTCTTCATCTTCTTCAGAATCTTCTTCTTCTTCTTCAGTATTTTCAGCATCTTGTTTTTGTTTTTGTTGTTCTTGTTCTTGTACTTCTTGTTCTTCTTCTTCAGCATCTTCAGCATTTTCAGCATCTTCTTTTTCTTCTTCTTCAGTGTCATCAATTCTTCATCACTTTTCTCATTCAATTGAGCGCTAGTTACCTGCAGGTCAACATACAATAGATATTAGTTTTTGAAATAATTGAAGTTTAGGAAACTAAAAAGTTTCTCAGTAATAATTCAGTGTATAAAAATAGGGATTTTTCCCAACTTGAATTGAAATTCAAATGAGATGAGGATGTGACCTGTCTTGTTGTCAGCTGATGTAGTGATATGACTTTCATATGTTTATGTAATTTGGCAAGATTCCACTTGATCAACCTTGGGCATGCTTTGCTAACTTCAGGGTGGATAATCAGTGTGTGCTCACACAACCAATACTACAAAACAAATGTAAAGAATTTTTGTCATTTGAATAAGAAGTAATACTATCTGTTATTAACAACAAACTAATAGAATAGAGTAAAGATGTACTTATTAAGAGAGCCATAAAACATCCTGTGATTTTTGCTAGATTTTTGTGGTATTCTTCAATTGAAGACATCAGTGTGTTCCTTATTGCTTCTGCCCAATTGTATTTTCTCATTGAGTTTATGTCTTCCATGTAATTAAGAAATACCCAACCAACTGTTGTTCCTGATATAGAGAAAAAAAGCTTCAAACAAGTATACATACACAGCATCCTTATCACATCTTCAGTGTCTTCTTTCTTCTTGCCTTTCAATGCTTTTTGCAACAAGTTGGTGATGGTTGTGCTCGATAGCATTTCAATTTGTATGTATCTTTTTGTCAGAAATGATGATCTGCTTTTATTTCCATAACCAAGATGTATCGGCTCATCTCCACAAGATATACCAAAGATGGACTTGATGTCTTCTGTTGTTAGCTTTACAGTTTCTGGTCCTAACTGGAAAGAACCACTGCTGCCTGGCTGGTATGTTTGAATTATTTTCAATGAAATATCATCATATTTGGTGCATTGTTTACAATTCATCTTGTTTTTCAATATTGCATCAAACAATGCCCAAAATGGGGTTTTCTTCAAGGCATTAATATGCTCATTCCTGAGTTTGATGTGCTGTAATAGCTTCACTATCGCCACCATGTTTGATCTAAAAGTTTGTTCTTGTACTTTTTGTTCTTCTTTTTCAGCATCTTCTTCTTCAACATCTTTGTGTTCTTCGTCTTCAGTATTTTTAGCATCTTCTTTTTGTTCTTCTTCAATGTCATCAACTTCTTCATCACTTTTCTCACTGAATTGAGCAGTAATTACCTGTAGGTCAACATACAATAGATATTAGTTTTTGAAATACTTGAAGTTTAGGAAACTAAAAAGTGTCTCAGTAATAATTCAGTGTATAAAAATAGGAATTTTTCCCAACTTGAATTGAAATTCAAATGAGATGAGGATGTGACCTGTCTTGTTGTCAGCTAATGTAGTGATATGACTTTCATA